GGTTCAACAAAAAAAACATAATAAATATTTACATTATTATAATATACATTAAAAAAAAGACCGATCGAATTCAATAATTAATATCTCAATTTAAGGCAATATTTTTGAATGTTTTAAATAAAATTATAAATAAATAATTTAAAACATTATATTTTTCTCAAATTTTAGTTTAAACATTTTATTTCTAGCCATCCAATCAAAATCAAAAAATTAAAATTGAAATATATTTAAAGTGACAGATTCTTCAGACCAGTTCGCTATTTTAAATTCCATTTTTTGCAGAAAATTTTGCGTGCGTAAGACGTACGCAACGCTACGTACGTCAGAGATGTTATTCGGAGGGTATTGGGGGTTATATCCGCGTTACCTCTTGTAAAAATCTTATAACCTACTTGTACCTTCTAGTAAGTTCTACGATAGATGGGTTACAGTAAAGTTACAGATGAGTTACAGGGGATATAACGCGGATATAATACATCAATACCCTCTGAATAACCTCCCTGACATACACAGCGTTGCGTAAGTCTTTAATACGCAAAATTTTCTCCCATTTTTTATGGGTTCAATATTATGAAAAAATGTTCATGACTTGGACCCGATAAATGACCAGTTCATAAACCGGTCATTAGTGGGTTGTTGACCGACATTTCTTCAGATGTAGGGCTGAGCTGGCACTTGTTTGGTGTAATTCTGCCACGTATTTTTCTTCAATTTAAGTTGTTTTTTTAGGGGTTGGTGAGAAAGATGACGTGGCGGCAGGGAACTTGGGCAGATATCACATTCATGAAAATTATGATGAAATTAGTTATAACAACTTTGGAAGCAAACCATCCATCGTGTATTTTGTGCTAAAATTAATTTAAATAAATTAAATATTTATTTATTAAAAAAAAACCGTGTTAAAATGATGATTAAATATTATTTATTAAATTTATAAAATGAAAGGAAAAAAATTGTTTTCCTAATTTGAAGTTTAAATTAATTCATTTAATAAGCCACTAAATTCACACATACACACATACATACATACATACATACATACATACATATACATATACCATGAGGTATACATATAGAGAGAGAAAGAGAGAGTGGTTTACCCAAAGGTTTACACCTAACTCAAATTTATTATGAAATCCCTTAATACGCGCGTAACTATGCCTTCTTCGCAAGCGCACGGGCACATGTGCGCATTTGCTCGCCCACACACACATTGTTACATCCTTTGTCCCGTTCGTAAGCCTGTAGAATGAAGGCTATTAACACCATATCAATGCTATTAATGTCATTGATTCATTTCATGTAATCACGTTAATAGTATGCATCTGTGGATCTCATTACATCCCCATACACATCATTGGACTAAATTGCTTGGGTGGAAGTACACATGCATCCGAACATGCATGCCTGCATGCTAAGGCGCATTCAACCGTATTTATTAAATAATTAAATAATTTTTTTTAGAAGTATTCATTTCACTAATTTTTAGCATCTCATACACATTTTTTGGCATCTTTAGAACTTCATTGAGCATCCTTGCTAACTCGAATCTCTTATGTATGAATCTTTGGAATATCCAAAGTTATATTTTTCAATACTTGCTTCATATTTTAGAAAGATACAAGCGACATTGTCTGAAAATATGTGGGCAATTGATATGTCATCAATAAATTCTTATCAAGCAAGAATCTAAATGCATTTTTAAGGGATCTTCAATATTCGAATTCAATATCATCTTGGTTCCAATTTTGGCAAGTCTATAGTCAGACAGTTTGGCTGTCTTAACATGATGAACACAATGATATCAAAATTGGTTCAGTCTAGGTCTAATAAAGTCCAGATTATGCTCTTGAAGCACAAATGAAGGTTGTGAATCATTAATTGACAGGTCAAATGGACTCCAAAGTTAACATATATATAGTTATAATGCGTCCAAGAGAATTCACAATGATAGAGTGTTTAATTAATGTCTTAGCGTTGCATCAGAACCAACACACATATAAAATAAATCAAAGACATAAACACCAAAAGATTATATATATATTATGTCTGGTCAGTTAAAGAGATTCATTACAAACTATTGATTATAGATACAATCTCTTATTTCTTAAGCGGAAAAAGAGTTACGCAACATCTCAAGTTACAACGTTGGTGCGTGAAAGGACTTGTAGCTCCGCGGTACGTAGCAATCGCACGGAGGAGCGATAGATGACGGTGTCGCTTCATATTGGTCTACATTTTAAAAATAGATTACCTCTCAATATTAAACTTTGCATTAATTATATAATCTTCTTTTAGCCTATCACCAGCACATCAATTCTAATAAGAAAAAAAATATATATTTGACATTCTTGTAAGAAATCTAAAGCTTTTTAAAACCTCATCCTAACAACTATTTCCATTCTAAAAGCTCACCCGCTGACATGCTCTTTAAAAATAGTGCTTTCACAGCTCATCCAAACCCTTTAAAAAATTATATATATATATATGGACCCATTCTAGACAGATGTGCAATTCGATCATATTCAGGAATCGAACCCTTGACCCGAGAGACTTACACCAAAGGCCGCGCTCAATGAGTCAGGCTAAGACACACACACACACATATTTGATGAGTATGATTTTTAAATAATTTAATTGACTATAAGCCATATAGATTTATAATCAATTAAAACTACTAATAAAAAATAGAATATAAAAATATTAAATATTATTGAAATAAATATTTTAATATAAATAATAAGAAGTAAATTTTGTCAATGTGTGATTGGGGATGTCAAACTGTTTGTTGTTCTCGAGTTGTTTGTGTTCGGCTTGCTAAGCAAACGAGGCGAGCACGAACAAATTTTTTTTTGTGCTAGATACATTCACGAGCTGAACACAAACAACAATATCTTTTAACAAGTCAAACAAGAACAGAGTCAAGGATTGCTCGAGCTCGGCTCATTTACACCCATAACTACGAATCGCATTTTTTTTTATTTCAAAAATCAAAAATATTTTTAAAAAATATAAATTGATTTTAAACAATCTTTTAGAGATTTATTTGAGATATATATAATTTCCTCCCGCTTAAAATTCATTTTACATAATAAATAAATAAAAAAAAATTAGCATATCAATGATACATAAATAAATTTAAAACAAACTGTTCTCAAAACACACAAATCAAACAGACACATAGATTATCCGGATCAGCTGCTCATCACAAGATTCTCAGGATAATCAGCTTATCAAGATAAGTTGGATAAGCTGCAACTGACCCAAACAGACCCTAAGTTTTATTTATTTATTTATTTATTTTTGTAAAAAAAAAAAAAAAAAATCCAACTTCTCAGCTGGGCCACGCAACTCTGACTTACCAACCTTTACCAACCCAACCGTACACGATCTATGGTGGTTTCCGAACATAAAAACGTGTATATTTTACATTGTGGAAACTCAACAGTAAGTTAACGATTAATTAAAAAAATAATAATTTTAAATTATAAATGCACCTAAAAATATTAAATAAAATCAATAAATTAATTATGTAATGGTTTAAACAATGTAAGAATTTACAAATTTTCCTCCTAAAACATAACAATTTCTCTTCTCTCCTTTGAAATTTTAACTTCCCATTCCAAGATCTTTTGTTTGTCACTCGGAAAAAAAAATATTAAGTTCGGAGTACGAATACATTCGCTACGAATAATTTGTAATAATATTATTGTATATGAAGTCCTAATTACTATTCTCTCCTTCATACGACTCGATAATTATATATACGTACGACCACCACGTTTTCATGTGCGTAAACCCGTCAACCATCTATTTTCATATCTACCTCGTGTTTTCTGACATAAAGTTAATAATGAGTAAAAATAAATTTTCAAGTTTGAACTTGACATCTTAGGGTTTGTTTTGGGCAGCGAAATTTTTGAAAAATAATTTGAAGTTAAAAAAGCTGTTGTGACTATTATAATTTTTTTTTCTTTTTTAAAAAAAGTCAGATAGTAGCTAAAAAACAATCAACGCACCTAGCCACGACCGGCGGGAAAACACAGAATTTAGTAGTCGTTTCTGAAAAAATTATCAAAATGCTGTTTATCTAAATAGACAAAATTACAGTGCAATGCAAAATCATATATCTCGCAATCTAATAACACACTTTATTTACAATTAATGTGTTGCAACAAAAAAAAAAAAAGTGGCTAAAAGAGCACTCCAACATAACACACTTTATTTACAATTAATCTATTGCAACAAAAAATATATATATATAATGTAGTTGAAAGAATTGATATTTGTGAAGCAAAATAAAAAACAAAACAAGCCTTTAAACATATGAATATTTTTTTTCCCTTAAAGATTGGTCAAAGACTATTAGATGAGTCTCCAGACCACTCTCATATGCAGGATCGAAGATTCACGGTCCTGCACGAGCTTTTAAACATATGAATATTTTTTTTTCCCTTAAAGATTGATCAAAGACTATTAGATGAGTTTCCAGACTACTCTCATATGCAGGATCGAAGATTCACGGTCCTGCACATATGCAGGATCGAAGATTCACGGTACTGCACATATGCAGGACCGAAGAATTTCATTCCACACATATGCAGGATCGAACCCGTGACCTCAAGTGTCTTACAAACTCTGCTAACCAAAGAGACGACACATACAATCACATATAAATCATGTCATGTATTCAAGAACTTATTACTTGTCAATATAAATCTCCCTCAACAATATTATATAACAAACCAATTGTATTAAAATAATAACTCAAACGCATAAACAAACAAAATTAATCTCATCCAACGGCAACGCATCACCACATTCAAATGAAATTTTTTCGCCTAATCATCCATCTAAACGCACCAATAAACTCCATTAGTGCGTTCCCAAACGCCCAAATTCAACACCTACCGCTTTTCCGCCCGCCCTCCCGCGTCTCACACCGCCACCTATATAATCCCCCTCCCTCTCCCCCTACCACCCTCATCCCCACCCCTCTCCTCCCTCTCATTCCCCAGCAAACCCTAACAATGGGCAGCCTCCACACCAACGACTTCCCCGCGACCGCCGATTGCCTCCAACACCCCCTCGACCCCGAAGAATTCCGCTGCAACGCCCACAAAGTCGTCGACTTTATCGCCGATTACTACACCAACTTGCCCAAATACCCCGTTCGGAGCCAGGTTGAACCCGGCTATCTCCGCAAACTCCTGCCGGAATCCGCCCCAAACCAACCCGAATCCATCGATAACATCCTAGAAGATGTGACGAGCTGTATCATTCCCGGCATAACTCACTGGATGAGTCCCAATTACTTCGCCTACTTTCCGTCCAGCGGAAGCACTGCGGCCTTCCTCGGGGAGATGCTGAGCTCCGGTTTTAATGTTGTCGGATTCAACTGGATGTCGTCGCCGGCCGCGACGGAGCTCGAGAGTGTTGTTATGGATTGGCTTGCGAAGCTGCTCTGTTTGCCGTCGGAGTTTCTCTTCTCCGGCGGCGGCGGCGGCGGGGCTCAGGGGACCACCCACGCTTGCGGCCGCAAGAGATCGCGCGCTGGCGCGAGGATGGTGAGTTCGATTATATATATATTTTTCATATTTCATTTTGATAAAAAAATGGAGTGTTTATGAAATTTAAATAATATTTATTTAAACATAAAAAAATGTAATATTTTTATTTTTGCCAAATTCATATAATATATTTGAGTAAATATTCATTTATTTGGTAATTATTTTGGGCATATTTGTAAATATAATATTTATTCCAAATGATTTATTTTTATTCCTTGGTTACATTGTATTTTAATAGACCTAAAAAATGGTAATTAATCGTCATATTTTAACGTTTGATGTACAACATATTTATTCGAACAAAAATTTTACGTGATGTAAGATGACGTGAATCACATCGTATCATATACACAACGAGAAAATATTAAGCGAGATTTAACGTATGTATGATAATGAAAGAGATGTAATAAAATACAAATGATTCCATGCATCTGCACCATCATCTATATATACATTAATAAAATGTATGCAATATTTTCTTATCATTATTTACAAACCAACCCTTTTATCATCTCATTGATCATCATGAATCTTAAAATCTAACATCTTCATTTTTTGGCATAAACATAAATATAATATTTATTCAAAATAACTTAACTTTTTATTCATTAATTACATTGCATTTTAATAGAACCAAGGAAATAACCAAATAAGTCATATTTTAATGTATAAAGTTTAACATATTTATTAGAGAAAATATTAAATATGTTATCTAAACTTAGAATCAATGGTGTGGACAACGAAAAAAAATTCATTATGGACATTCATACGGTCAATCGTCGGCAGCCACGTCGCTCGCCCATGACGTATATGGCGACGTGACCGTCTGTGATTGGTCGTCTAAACGTACCGTATCAGGACGAAATATTTTCTCATGAACCACACCACCACTTGTGCACAACAGTGGTGTAAGCACGTGCACATTGAATTTACTAAAAAAAAATATTATATCTTTCATCCGAACGTGCGCCAACATGAATCACACCACAAAGTGCGTCCACCAGCTCGGGCACATGTCCATTAACATAAGACCATTAACAGAGACCTAGTAACATATTCCATCATATGCACGTGGAACTCCATAGAACAAATATTGTACAAACTAACACGTGTTCATATCATTATTTACAAACTAACCCTTTTGCTTCTTATAAAAACAGCGACATCTCACAGCTCGTCGTGTACGCCTCCGATCAAACACACTGCGCGCTAAAGAAAGCCGCCCAAATCGCCGGCATTCCCTCCAGCAACTTCCGCACCATCAAAACCACTCTCTCCGACTCCTTCTCCCTCACCGGCGCCGCCCTCCTCCCGGCCATCCTCTCCGACATCTCCGCCGGACTCACCCCCCTCTACCTCTGCGCCACCGTCGGCACCACCTCCTCCACCGCCGTCGACCGTCTCCTTGAACTCGGCAAACTCACCTCCCAATACGGCATCTGGCTCCACATCGACGCCGCATACGCCGGCAGCGCCTGCATTTGCCCTGAATTCCGCCACTTCATCGACGGCGTGGAGCTCGCCGATTCCTTCAGCTTCAACGCGCACAAATGGTTCTTCAACAATCTCGATTGCTGCTGCCTCTGGGTCAAAACCCCGGCCGCGCTCATCAAATCGCTTTCTACGAATCCGGAGTATTTGAGGAACAGTGCAACGGATTCCAAACAGGTGGTGGATTATAAAGATTGGCAGATCGCGCTGAGCCGGCGGTTTAGGGCGCTGAAGATGTGGATGGTGTTGAGGGGGTATGGAGCGGCGAATCTGAGGGGGTTTCTGAGAGGGCATGTGAGGATCGCGAAGGTTTTTGAGGGTTTGGTGAGATTGGATCGGAGGTTCGAGGTGGTGGTGCCGAGGTATTTTTCGGTGGTTTGTTTTAGGCTTTTGTGGGGGGGAGAAAGGGAGGAGGGAAATGAGCTGAATCGGAGGGTGTTGGAGAGCGTGAATGAGGAGGGGAAGGTTTATATGACGCATGCGGTGATCGGAGGGGTTTATGTGATGAGGTTCGCCGCCGGCGGAACCTTGACGGAGGAGCGGCATGTGAGGGAGGCTTGGGTGGTGATTCGGGAGCACGCGGAGAGAGTGATGGGAAAGATGAAGGTGATGGACGGTCAGTATTGAGACGCGTGGAGATCGTATCGATCGTTGTAACAGATACTGCCGCGTGGAGATCGTATCGATCGTTGTAACAGATACTGCTATTTTTATTTTTATTTTTTTAAATTTGATGAATTGTTTTATGATGTAACGCATGTAAGTTCCAATGATATTACATCTAAATAAATTTGGCCTGAAATGGCCTTATGTTTTTTAATTTGGTATTTGACTATTTTGCTCAATGATATATTAAAACACGAACTTCTTGGCGAGCTAAATGAGACTTATTCGTGAATAGCAATTTTTTCTAAAACATGTACCTCTGTCATGTTCATAACACTTCGTTATGCCGATTCGCTAACCTCCATTGCAGTTTCGCTCGCTTCCTTCGATGGGAAGAGGCTAAGTTGGTCTCTCTATTCTAATATATAAATCTATGGCTGTAATAGAGCAGAGTCGAGTACATCATGGATTAGATTTGCCTCAGGGTATATTTGGGCCGACGGTGCGGCACCACATTTAAGTTTTATTTGTTTGGATAAATTGAGTTTTGACTGCGATTTGACTTGAAAAAAAAATTCAACAACTTCAGAGTTGCTTTTTAAGCTGTAGCTTCACATCTTTTTTTTTTAAGTTATATTCAAGCTTATTTATTAAATTTTTTTAATAAATTTGTGTCGTAATTGAATTTTAATTAAATTTAAATAATTATATGCTTGATGCTAGTTATTTAAAATTTAACCTAATATATCATAAAAAAAATTACTCGATCACCCTTCCATTCTAACATATGGTTTCATTGGATTTATAGTGAAATTGAATGTATTGATGATGGAAATACAATGACACTAAGCACTATAAAATTTTGTTTGATGCATATGTTGATTCACTTAGTGTAACACATACAGTTGAGACCATTCAACCCGTGCTGAGGGACATCCTGCCCGAATCATTCTGCTAGATTTTAGTTGTTGCTTAGGCCAAATTGGACCCACATTTTGCCTGTTGGACCGTTTCAATCGGACCAACAGATCTCATTTATCATGTGGCATGCAAAATTGGCTTAAATCAAGCAACCTGCCTGCTTACTCACTCGCGCACCTTCCTCACTCAGTGTCTCGCGTGCCCTAGCCTTCCTTTTCGCGAAACAGTCGCCTCCCCTCTTGTGCCCGAAGCTCGCCGGCCGGCGTTCGTTGCCAGCGATCGCTCAACAGCCAGCGTTGGCCTCCTTGCCGGAGCTCCTATCCGAGGGCTTTCACGCGAGCAGCTGGCCTCTCCCCCGCCTTCACCAGTTCGGCCCGGGGAACCGATTCCGAGCTTTCTTGCAGCTTCCTCGCACCGGCCACGCTTCTCCGGCGCCTCCTCCTTTTGGCCCGAGGCAGTTGGCTCGAAGGTCCTCCCCGCCTGTAAGCAACCCAAAAGCCTACTCTCTTACTGTCGTGCTATCGGCGAACCTTGCCCATCTCCTTCCCTTGTGGCAGGCAACACGGGGCGTCGGCGACCTCGCTTCCTCATTCCCTTACGGCTGACGACCTTAGCCGCCGTAGACTTTGCTGGCTTTCCTCTTCTGCGCCGCCGTAGACTTTGCTGGCTTTCGTTTCCTTTTGGCCGGAAACCTTGCTAGAACTGGCAGTCGGGGGCTGCGAGAGATTTCTCCTCTTCTGTTAGGAGAGCTTCATCTGCAACACGAGCGTGGGACATCGAGCAATCCCCCCGACGGTATAACATTCCCAACACTTGCTTTTTCTTTTTTAGCCGGTCCTAGGATTAGATTTAGGCCAGTGCGTTGTGGGTCTGGTCGCCCAGACGGGGTGAGCTAGCCGCATGCAGCCACACTCACTTGGATTGACCGTTGATTTCCTGGAGGAAGCTCTAGGTTAGGAATCACATGCGTGGCCAAATCTCTTGCAAAGAAGTTTGATTTCCTGTTAAGAACCCTACACCTAAATCATATCGGGTTGGAATCCCAATTTCCCATTGCTTTTACATTCCCCAAATTTTCTTGGAAATGTTGAGATTTTTGGATTTTGCAAAGTGAGAAAAGTTTTATATCCAGCTCTCCTTGCAAAATCATGAGTTGTGAAATGTAAAAAACTTTATAGCTAGATCATTTCACAACAACGTAGAATATATCCCTTTCGAAGACCCAGAGGTGAAAACTCCCCACACACCTCACCAAAGTAGGAGACGACTATGCCGCACTTTCAAGTGTTAATCGTTAGCATGAGTATTACTCACTATAGTTTGTGATCACTTGCACCATGTCACACTTTCTGCGTCGACCTGCCGCCCCGAACCAATCAACATTACTTTTGCCTCAAATGGCTGCCTCAGCCCGGTCGACATCACTTTGCCTCAACCGGCTGCTCCGATCTAGTAGACATAGCTTTTTGCCTCGACCAGCCCCCCCTGGCGACCTGATCAGCTTAGGACATTGCCTTGGTCGGCAATTTCAACCTAGGCCACCAATCACTTGGGTCCGACCGGCTGCCCCGGCCTGGT